CCTCGACGGTAAATATATAATTTACCTAGATCAATAGTCGGTAGTCAACCTACCGCCAAACCGATATGCACGATTGGCCTTGGATTGTTCCATGTCTCTCCGGGAGGCTGGTGAACCATGCTGGCTTATGGATCTCGACTGGGCCATCCGGAACCTGCCTAATAACGAGAAAGTTTTCTTGCCTCAAAATCAAGATCTGGACACCGAGGGCATTGAGAAACTGTTGAAGACAGTGAGAGCGGTCTCCAACAACGGGCTCCGTTCAGAAATTGATTCGTTCTCGCGCCTGGCTCTACTGCGCAACCGTGTCGAACCGACAGACCCCGAAAAGGATCTGGAACCTTCCTCCCCAACTCTACACTTTCGTCACTACCTTCATCGTGTCTCGAATCATAGGCATCGACGGTCTCTGACACGACTTCTCTGCGGCAATCTCGTACCAACCATATTCAGAGCTTCTCCAGGAAGGCTACCAAAGTCGGGGGATGACTTTGCTGTGCTGGCATGTCGGGCATGCAAGGGCTCCTATGAGCGTCCTGAACACGTTTTACTCCAGTGCTCGAAGGTTCCTGGAATTGTCTTGATCAGGAACTCCTTCCTCGCATCATTGAACCTTATCACTACTGGTCACCGGTCCGATCACCACGCTCTCGAGCTCCTCAAATCTCTCATTTTTTCATGGGATGTTGTTATCCCCGCTGCGAAATTTATTAGCGACGTACTTGCGATTTGGATGAAAGTTGGTTCAATGGTTCTTGAAGTTGAGGAGTCGGATTCAGAGGAGAATTGATGCGGGAGTACATAATTTTACTATTTGTAACTAGTACGTACTAGTACCATACTTCTGTAGTGTACCCAGTCCCTGGCCGAGCTCGTAGTCTACCGCGCGCTTGCTCTTGCTCGGCCTTGTGACTCCGGCTGTGCCGTTTCTGGCACCACTCCGGGTTCAACATCCCGGAGGAGCCGTGTAACCTACCTACCTACCTACCTAGGACTCAGACTTATAGGGCTGCGTCGCAACGCATATGTGCCCTCGCCGCATGCGCAAATCGTGCCGCTGCACGGTTTAGCCTGTCGCTACAGGCTTACCTCGCACCGCTGTGCGTTCGTTGTCCGCGTACAACATTTGTGCCGCGCCCGGCAAAATCTCGGCAATGCTGCCTATTTTGGGTACAGCGTGACGTACGAGGTTTCTTACCTCTTTCACTCATCGTCCGCTGTACCCAGGTATGTTTTTCTATTCGCGTTGGACCTTTTTTCACTCATCGTCTGCTGTATCCAGATTTCTAGTGCTTACCCTCCCACCCATTTTTCCTTATTGTATTGTAACAGCCTCTTGTTCTACAGTTTACTAAAAGTGTATCATCTCTCCAAACTTAGTACTTCCCTTTGCCTGTATTGTAAGCCATCCTCTCATGCACGTCTGTAATATATCTCTCGGCCACGGGGACGCCTCCTTTGTGGCGCGTTGGGCCTAAATTATTTGAACGAGCCGCTAGACGAACGAAAAAATTGGTCGATCTGTATCCTAACAAGGAATCGTACTACTAGACCATCAGGCCAATGTAAGGACTTCAGAGTGTTGGTCACGTACGAAATTGCCAAAATTGCTTCTGATTTTCTGACTTTTCCTTAGATAGGTCAGATGGTTCAGAGACAAGAGCTGGGCTAATAGATGCTCAGCTGAGCCATCGAACAAACTAATGACTATGCTCTCCGATGTCGCATAGCATGACACAGCTGAAATTCAAGGATGCCAAAGTGAGCTGAGCATATCTCACCCATATTATGCGGGGTTTTTGAGAGTTTGGTGAACCGTCATTTGCGAAGATTTTTACATTACGATGTGATTTGCGAGTTCCGTTTGAATTATCTTATGTCGTTCACCTATCCCACTCGCCATTCAGCTCCTATAGAAAAGTTACTCCACAGTGAAAGGTCAACTAATCTTCGCTTGAAGTGATACTACTGAGGTGGACGAAGTTCTTTGAAAACGGAAGTCGTCTAAGGATAATTATTATTGGGGAGTGCTGTTTTGCCGGGGTCAAATGTATAAAAGGCCCTTGGTTCGTCGATAGACCCCATCACCCCAAAAGCACTCAGATTCAGCCATTTCTACTCTTTCAAGACACTCATCATGTACTTCTCCAAGATCGCTGCCGCCGTCGCCGTCCTCTTCATCGGCCAAGCTATGGGTGCTGCTTTGATTGCCACTGATCCAGGTCAGTACAATATTACCTGTTGTATACTACTTGTACTGACGATACCTGTGTTGGATAGTCTCTGCTTGCAACCCACCCAACAACGGCGATCACACCGCTGGCAGCAGTTGCAAATTCTTCAGTGGCCCTTCCAACAGTTCTCCCGTGCTATCTGGCAGTAAGTATACCTCCACTTGTAGCCGAATTCGAATTGATATTAGTATTCTCATTAGCTTGCGTCGACCAATCTGGCACCTTGACCTGCGTTGCTCAGTAAACAATGACTTTGAAAGAATATGTATTGGGATATGTACAGCATGCAAGATACTTAATGCAAGAAATTTCTCTAATCCCTATTTGTGGTTGAACTTGTTTACTATGCTTGTAATTTGCACAAGGTTGGACCTTGATGTGTTCGTCATGAAGCCAAGAGTGCACTCGGATTTGAAGATCTCAACGGTACAGAACTCTGTACAATAACTAATTCCAGATGCCTCTGAATCGACTTTTCGTGATTCGTCAGTATTATTATGAGAATTATACATACATCGACGGTACAACGAGATTCTGCTTCATGTGCTAAATACTTCGAGTCAGTTCTGCAAAGCATAAATGATAACGTACACAAGATTTATTTCTTAATAGATGACTTCTCATTTCCCCAGAGCCTTCCATTTATGCAACGGCCGTAACATCAACATGATACTCTCTCCCTCATCTAAATTTGCCATCAGTACACTTCCCATACCACGCCCGTTTCCATTCAAATTCAATATGCCCATCCCACCCCCACTGCTTCCGAAAGATCCAATAAACCTCTCTGAGAAAACCGCCAAGTCGCTTCTGAAAAACCCTAAGTCTCTCTTAGCCCAGGCATCCCTCACCTCCCACATTCCTTCGATCCCCAGATCTCGAGAGGTCACAAAAACCGTTTGTCGTCCAGCCAAGTTCGAATCGAAACCAGCTTGGCCTAAGTTTGGGCCATAATTAGCCAGAAGAATGACAGCGTTACCAGCTGGATCGGGTCCAGCGATCCAGGATTGAAGCTGTTTCGCGTCACCGAGTCCTGTTCCAGGATTTCTGGGCCGCATCGGGAATTTCGCGGTGAAATCAGCAATGGAAAGAACTTCGGAGTGGGTTAGAATCGATTTCCCGACCGCTATTGAAATGACCGCAACTAGTAAGCAACACGAACTTTAAGAAATAGGGATACGTACCGTCTAGATTGGTCAGATCATTGCCCAACATAAGATTCGACCCAGCTCCTATCCAATGGTTCATGATGGTATATCTCATTTTATCGTCTATACCGTCAATGTCTTCACCATTTCCAACGTACAGATTATCCATATCGGGATATATATTTAACACCTCATCTCGTCCAGTATGCATGACGATATATTGCCGATAGTTGTCGATCGCCCTCTGCACTACCTCCCATCGAGTGAACAAAGCTGATTCGGCTCCGGCATTATTGATATCCTGGTCGGTACGGAAAGAATCGGCATTGGCAGACCAGATTGAATAGTGAACCGGGTCACGAGCAAGTTTCCAAGATATGTCGAGACGCATAGGACGAGAAGCCTTGGATATAGCTGCATGGTAAGCAATAACTGTGCCACTAGAGTTCTTTGGAAGAAGCATAGGTGAACCGGGAGTCACAAAGTCTAGTTTGATGAAATCAACACCCCTACGTTCATTCATTAGTACCCGAGGCAAAGGATATGATGACGAGAATGATATGGATCCCGAACAAGTGTTCCGGATATCTGGTTACCTTACCATTCAGCAAATTGCGCAACAACAGAATCATGCCATTGTTGTACGCCATCCTCTCCGTAGTGCCAATTACACCGAAGAAGACCATTGTCTCCAGAACACACGTCCCCAATGCGGATATTCGTTCCCAGAATTGTCTTGTTCATGTCCCGGTGGAAGCCTCCAGGAACGACGTACAGACCCAGCTGTAAACCTGGCAGATGTTAGTACAAAACCAGACAGCCGGTATACAGTAGCAGGTCTTATGACCCACTTACCTTGTGCGTGTAAATGATCCGCCAGCTTCGGTATATCGAAAACCCTCTTGTCTGCTATGATCCTTCCGTGTTTGTCTCCACGATCCCATTCCGACCAACCCGAGTCCAAGCTACAGTAAGTAAAACCCATACCCGCGAGAGTCGTAGCTAGTATATCGCACTGGGCAATGACATGGTGTTGAGTGAAGATGAAGTTGGGGCTCGTAAGAGGATTGGCTTGTAGTCCGAATGAGTTCCATCCCCGTGCTGAATGATTGAAGCCGTTTGGTGTTGGAGAAATGACAAGCGAATGTAGCGGCTGGTACGAGGGAACAGACTGTGTATTTGCTATTTTTCGATCGTGAATCTAATGAAGACTTATAAGACTTCAAATAGAGCCTACGCACTGAGAAAGTTGATTATTTGAGACGGAACCACACTTAGAAGACTAAGCAAAAGATAGAAACATCGTGCGAGCAAATACTGCGAATCTACCATAGATACGCTCAACGTCATAGAACAATAGTTGGCAGTAAAGTTACTCACCAAAATGAACAGAGGTCCAACCTGCTAATGACTCGAGAGAGAAAAACATCTAGAATCCTCTTTCTAGCAACCTCTAGGTCAAAGCGAAAACTTGAATCTAGAGAAGGAGTAGGCAGTAAGTAGATGAAAAGGGAAAGGAGCTCTTAAACGTGGCGCTGCGGTTTCCCACCCCACATCACCAAAAAAGGAATCTGTGTGCACCGCACTTCACGGAGCCATATACCTTCCATTCGAGCATGATCCCTTAGCTCAGCGGTAGAGCGTGTGATTCCAGACTTGGATTCCACAAGGTCATCCGTTCAATCCGGGTAGGGGTCAACTTTTTGTGCTTTTCATGGATGTTGTCATGCATCCCGAGGCTTTAGCAAAAACTACCCAAAAGGAGCGGCGAACGTGAATGAGCGTTGTTGTAAGGACCGCAATGATCAACCTTTCAGCTAAATGATAAGCCATGACATGACAACGCACTCTTGATGGGATCAGCGGAAGTTGAACTTCGAGTTTCTCCATTTACCCTCACCTCCACTCTGAGCTAATCTTACAGAAACTTAGCTTTACTTAGTTCATCACTATACTTTTAGATCTCACATCAGGTGTGGATGTTGAAGAATCCAACTTAAGCCTGATTGAGCCCGATAATCTCCCAGTCTGGTGCCACCAACAAAGAAACCGTGGACCCATGGCTGGCTATAAGTACACCTATTTATCCACAAAAGTAAGTATGACGCATCAATAGCTCCGGCAATCCGAGAACAGGCAAATCAGTTATTTTGATTTCCTTCGAGGACAACTTGGTCTTTGTTCTGAACTTTTAATTCCACCAAACATGACCTTAATACGTTGTGTCAGGGTCAAAGGATACGCTGTTGATTGAGTACTCTAGCCGTTAGACAGCTTGTATGACTACCTTCAAGGGAGCTAGGTAAGTCCGGCGGAAAGATTTCAATTTGGACGTAATTAGCGCGAGGAGATGAAACACCACAAAATTACATATGATGCTGACTGGATTATTCTGCTTCTCCTTCCCTCCGTCACTAGTGCCATTTTGCCTTCCCTTTATCACTCTCCTCCTCGATGCCCTCACTGTAATCGCACCTCTACCGCTTTTCTTGAACGATTGAGGCTGTCGTATTGGTTAGTCATCTCACATTCTCTGTTCCCGACACTCATTTCAGTCAGCTTTGCCAGATGAATAACATCGAGAGCCTTCCGGAGGATCCCGACCCATACGACTTTGAAAGAGATCAAATTGACTACCCTAGCTTACCCCCTGGTTTAATACCACCAACTTCTGGTAGCCGGTTCGCGCCCAGCATTAACACAAGAGCCTTACTGCCCACTATCGAAGAATTGTCCGAGTCTAGAGAACCATCACCAACCCATTCGAGCCCTGATGCACCCGTTATTCCACCTGGCCTCGAGGGCCTTACATTATCTAGCACGCAACTGATGCAAACGAGAAATGCCGAAGGAAATCAGCATTCTTTTACTATCCATCACACTTCTATCGACTCTACAAATGGACCAGAAAGACACAGTCTATCTTCAGACATAACGAAGGTATCGAAGAATGAGGCAGAAGGAAAGGGTGAAGGAGAGTTTGTCGCGGTATCCGTTCACCCTGTCGAAGAAGGTACATCAGAAGCTGGACATAACATTGGCGAAGTACAGGTAGAACCAAGTGCAAGGCGGGTGTCCGTCATTGGTGCAGAGAGTATGATATTGGGTGAGAAGGATTTGGCTCCGAGGAAGTCTTGGTCATTCTGGCTGCCGTTCGTGGCCATCAACATATCTATCTTTATCAGTGCTATGAGCTTCATGGCGATAGGAACTGTACTCCCAACCATAGCTCACTCTCTTGATGATCGACGGGGAGACTTCACTTGGGTATGCCAATTTTTCTTGGAATATCCTCACCGTTGTTTACCAACTTGACTTTTTAGATTGGGTCGGCATATGCTCTTTCAATGACTGCTTTCATTCCACTTGGCGGCGCTGTATCGGACATATTCGGAAGGTTAGCCTCCACTGACGAGTTCTGGTAACGTTGCATTAAATCTCTAACAGAAAGCCGACCTTGCTCCTGAGCATCGTCTGCTTTGCTTTAGGAAGTGCCTTAGCTGGGGCTTCACATAATATGGCAAGTCCTTCGATTCTCATTCCATCGTCAAAGAAACGAGACTGATTCTCATATCTTCTTGATCAGGCAATGATCATCACTGCACAAAGTATGGTTCATGTGTTTCCACACGAGTTGCAAAACTATCTCTGATGCACCTATCTTGCAGCTATCCAAGGCATCGGGGGAGGAGGAATGATCAGTGTAACTGAGATGATTATTTCAGACCTTGTTCCCCCTTTGGAACGAAGCAAATTCCAGGGCATTCTTGGACTAACGTGGTCTGTTGCATCAGCTGTCGCTCCAATTATCGGCGGTGCATTTGCATCAAACAAAAATGTGACATGGAGGTGGCTGTTTTGTGAGTCTTCTTACTCATCAGTCCGTACCGGGGTAAAGAGCGTAAAAACTGATGACGAGAGTTCAGATTTGAATTTACCCTTGACGGGAGTAGCTGGAGCTTTGATCGTCATCTTCCTCCATGTGCCGCATCCTGAAGGACCATCCCTTAGCAAGCTTGCTCGCATTGATTGGGTGTAAGTGAATCATGTAGTTCTGGTCATGCATTTCTCTTGACATCACTTAGAGGAAATGCGATGATCATTTTGGGATGTGGATTGACAACCATCGGCTTCGCGTGGGGCGGCGTACAGTCGCCGTGGTCCTCGGCTCAGGTCCTGGCTCCGTTACTTGTAGGGTTTGCTCTACTAATCTCATTTGGGTTGTATGAGTCTCGCATCCCGAAGCAACCAATTGTTCCCCCAAGTTTATTCAAAAACCGTACCGCACTTAGCGGATATTTGTGCATTGCTACTCACGGAATTGCTAGCACTGGTAGGCGATTCATGGTTCCATTGATTTGACACGTCTGAAAAGTGCCTTTCTATAGCCTTCATATTTTACATGCCTGTATATTTCCAAGCAGTATTGGGTCACTCTCCAGTACACTCAGCGATAGACTTCCTCTCCAGTGTATTGGTCATCGTTACGGCTGCCTTCATAGCTGGAGTAGTAGTCAGTTACGCCGAGTTTCATCGTTTACCCATCTATACCGGATGGGGTTTGATGATGATTGGTTTCGGGTTATTGAGTACTTTGACGGAAGCGTCAACAACTGGAAAATGGGTTGGATACCAGATTCTTGCGGGAGCGGGAGCGGGGTTACTGGTGGGTCTAATTTCCTGGTTTTGGTTAGGAAAATCTAACGATTTATGATCTGCTAGTATTCAACTCCCAGTTTGCTAATGCTGAAATCTTTGCCTGCCAGCCGTGCGGCATCGGCACTATCACTTTCAAACCTTGTTCGTGCGTTTGGCCAGGTATGACAGGTGCTTGGCTTCTCCTCGGGAGATAATTGCTAAGCGTCGTTTGTATAGACTTGGGGAATCACGATAGCCAGTACAATAATGCAGGTGCGTTCGTGCGCAGGCTCTCGATTTTTATCCGCTCAGCTTTGTGTCCAGAATCTACTCACGAAATCATTGTCTTCACAAACTATTACCTTTGCTGATATCCCAGAGATATCCAATAGTCCTGAAGTGCGTCACGCTTTTGCTCGTAGTATAATGGTCATTTGGGAGACAATGGTTGGAGTATGCGGTGTGGGCTTATTGGGATCGCTCCTAATGAAAGAAGTAAAGGCAAGCAATAGAGGGAATCTTGTATGTGCGCTGAAAAAATGTGGTTCACCTCCTATTCGGAACGAACGCTCTACCAACAGAGATCTAGAGAGGGGAATTCCGATGGAAGCAAGGGAGAGCAGTGGGAGATAATTCCCTTGATCTCAGCGCTCAGTATATTTACTCGATGCAGCGCTCTGAGGGCTAATATTCAGGATTATGAACGTAAAATTACTTTCCACGTATTATACTCTTGTATTGATAGTATACATGTACATATATAAGACGCAACTTGTATCGCCGTAAGACTGTTTGGCCAATAAGATGTTTCTGTCTCTGAATATAGATTATAGGTGATCAATCAAAAACACTAATTCGTAGACTAGGGTGTAATTACAGACGAATAAATGTTAATACATTGATATATTATAACCAATACCTCGTGAGAGATTTTACTTAACAGCTGCTGAACATACCCTTACATCTGTACTCTGTTCTACTGCGACACCAGAGCTGCCTGCGTATTTTTGTCATCGACGTAATGACACGTGATACAGGCGCGTGAATGTTTGAAATTGAAACGGCCCGTTTTCGACCTTCACTCGAAGACCTTCTCGAAGACCGTGTGCTCCTCGCGGTACCTCAACCTCATGACTGTTGGGGCTACGTCAGTATATTGGACACCTATAAATCACCAATGAAGTCCCTGAAGAACTCTGGGAACTCCTTACATCCCTACGATTCTGAGCGAAAGCTCTGGCTCAAACCGAGCAAGATGGACGCGGAATACACCTCCAATCCACCAAGTGCAAGATCTCAGCAATCCAAAATGCAAAGAAGAAGTGCTCGCTATTGGCTCACCATGTTACTAGTCTCCATATTGATGGTCGTTATTTGGCCTTGGGGCGATGTGTCCGCGACTGCCCGTACTCCTGACGTATCCATAAACGAAGACGTAGAGCTTCTTGCGCGGACTGCAAAGGATTTGTCCAACCACGAGCCTATGGTCGCGACCCCAGAACTTTCTCCTCGATTTACGGATGATGTACAGTTCGACAACTATAGTTTGCTTCTCAAAGGTCAAAGGATATTCCTTTAGTACGTTTTTGTTTTACTTTTGTTAGTCTTTCTTTCTTATTTTGGTATCAGTTCTGGTGAATTTCATACTTTTCGTCTTCCGGTACCCTCGCTCTGGCCCGACATACTCGAAAAAGTGAAAGCTGCTGGATTGAGTGGTATCAGCGTCTACACACATATGGGATTGATCAATCCTTCAAGGGGAGTCGTTGATTTCGATAGCTACCGCGCTTTCCAGCCTTTATTCGATGCTGCAAGGGAAGCAGGAATCTGGATTGTCTTGAGGCCCGGTGAGCGGTGATTCCAAGAAGCGCAAAGATTGTTTCTAATGTCGTTCGATCCATCGTCATGAATATTTTAGGTCCAGTAAGTCTCGTGTTCTAATATTCTTCCATTTCTTCCATTTAATACATCACATGGTATTAGTACATCAACGCCGAAACAACAGCAGGAGGAATTGCTCACTGGATTACATCCGAAGTCGCTGGTGAACTCCGCACTAACGCTTCTGACTGGCATGATGCTTGGCAGGATTATGTGCAGGGTGTTATTCGGGAGACTTCACCGAACCAAATCTCAGAAGGCGGTCCTGTCATAGCAATCCAAGTCGGTGAGCAAATAATCTTTCAGATGGACGTGCCATCGTTCTAAATCCCTTCACTAGACAACGAGTATAATCAGGCCACAGGCGCCGAATATTTCGCTGACCTAGAAGCTGCATACCATAACTCGAGTATAGTGGTTCCGTTGACGTATAACGACCCAGGTGAAGGACGGAACTTTATTAACGGCACTGTCAGTCAATTTCTCTCTCACGATTGCGCACCGCTGACATCCAAATCAATTCCAGGGAGCAGTCGATCTATATGGGCGAGTCATCCCCGGGTTCTTTGTTTTATTGTCGAAATTCACCTCCTTTCCGTCTCGTTTAGTTTGGATGCGTATCCCCAAGGCTTCGATTGTTCCCATCCCACTGCATGGAGTCCTGTCACCTTGAACTACCACCAGTATCACGAAGAAGTCAATCCTTCTCAAGCATGGTACTTCCCTGGTATTTGAGTTCTTCTCTTGAAGGTTCATAATGATCTAATTCCTATCCACAGAATTCCAGGGTGGTTCATTCGACCCTTGGGGTCCTAATGCGCCCGGTATGCTTTTGTCCTCATGGTAGCGCTCGAGGAAATTTTAACTTCGTTGTAGGCTATCCCAATTGCGCGATACTAACTGGAGCCAACTTCCAATCTGTTTTCTATCGTCAGCTTTGGGCTAGCAATGCCAAGTTGCTAAACTACTACATGTTCTACGGAGGTACTTCATGGGGAGGTATTCCATTCCCGTAAGTGTTTTCTTTTCACTTGTCGAGATGTTGCATTCATCCTGCGTGTAGCGGCGTATACACTTCTTATGATTACGGTGCTTCTGTAGGTCCCCTTATTCCGGTTTAGTGCCAAGCGATACTCATGGAACATGTAGATCACTGAGGCTCGACTCCTTACGTCGAAGTTTTCGGAAGTTAAGCTCCAAGCCATGTTCATTCGCAACACGCCAGAATTCTACAAAACCGACTGGATTGGTGATAGTTCGACCGGACTTACAGATGGGGGTGTGTCTAATCCAGCGGCTTTTGTCACGCTGCTGAGGAACCCCGATTCTGGGGCGGGTTTCTGGATTCTCAGACAAAATGATTCTACATCTACGTATGGAATGCACCCTTTTACCTTTAATGATCTAACTTTGACTTCTGTAACAGTGCTATAACTGATTTCTCCTTGAATGTCACCAACGCCGACGGGGCTCAACGAAAACTACCACTTGTGGCTTCTTCGATTACACTCTCGGGCCGTCAATCGAAGCTAGTGGTCACCGACTATGCATTCGGTAGCTCTCGAGCGGTATATTCTACTGCACAGGTCTTCTTCGCGGGCACTATTGATGGAAGGGATGTCTTATTCCTCTATGGCAACTCTACAGAGGAGCATGAATTCGGTGCAGCGCTTACTGGAACCCCCAATCGCTTCCAAGCCTCTCCTCTCGTCCGAATCATGGCGACGTCGGACACCCGTCTTCAAAGCGCCGAGGGAGATTTCACGGTCGTGTCAATCAACAAAGGAGTAGAAGGACTGGTCACTGTATACGATTCTGACACCCAGCTCATACTGTACGCCGATTATGATACTGCGACTACGTTTTGGCAACCAACGATCGCATCTTCGTCCTCCGATCCATTCGCCAATTTCTGGGGACTTGGAACCAATGAATCTGTCATCATTGGTGGACCGTACCTGGTGCGAGCCGCTGAACTGTCTGGCAATACATTGCAATTGAGAGGCGATCTCAACGCAAGCGAAGGCGCTGATGGAGTCATGCTTACCGTCATCGGCCCAAAGAGTATATCCGAGGTGACATGGAACGGGCAGGCTACGAGCGTCTCCTCTACCAATTCAACTATTCTGACAGCATCAGTCTCCTTGTCCATGACATCACAATCTATCGATATTCCCGTTCTAGGGGAATCAGGATGGAAGTTTGCAGATTCTCTCCCGGAAATTCAACCAGACTTTGACGATTCGACGTGGACTATTGCAAATCATACAGAAACAAACATTCCTGATAAACCATTATATGGAGATGGACGAATCTTGTATGGATGTGATTATGAGTTGTACGTGCTCTGATAGCTTCCTTGTACGCGACCAGCTGACCCGCTTCTCCAATCTAGCTGTGAAAATATCGTGCTTTGGCGTGGTCATTTTAATGCTACAGGGGACGAGAAAAGCGTCAACCTTTCTATCAACGGTGGAGAAGGTCAGTATTCGTACGACTTCTCAATGTTCTATTCTCTTATTGTCTATCTAGCCTTTGCCGCAAGTGTTTGGCTCAACGATGCTTTCCTTGGCACCTCGTTTGGCAAGTAAGTGCAATTAGTGCAACGTGTCTAGTACAAGCAGACCCATTTCTTCAATCCTAGCTCAAGCAACAACGATAACATTATTGAAGAGACGGATCAAAAATTCACCTTCCCAGATGGTGCTTTGGTAGCTAATGGTGACAATGTCATTACCGTCGTTCAGGTATTCAGACATTCTATCTACCTCAATTTATCTAAAATGATCTCGCGCAGGATAATATGGGTTTGGCTGAAACTTCTGGATGTAAGTTGATATATTGCAATTTATCTGAATACATCTCAACATCTACTTTTTGTTAGCGAACCCTGATTCTTCGAAGAGTCCACGTGGTATTCGTGGCTTCATGTTGGATTCAGGTAACTTTACGGACTGGAAAGTGCAAGGCAAAATCGGAGGCTATACCAAGTGAGCTCTTCTATCTATGATCCACCCATCATATTAACCCTTTCTTGTTCTCTGTTCTTAGTTTCCCAGACAAAGTCCGTGGAGTCACCAACGAAGGCGGTCTTTTCGGTGAGCGCAAAGGTTGGCATCTACCCGGTTTCGACACATCCGATTGGGAAACGCGTGACCTCGCCGATGGTTTACCTGACTCGTCCGCGGGCGTGGGGTTCTTTGTTACGACCTTTAACCTGAGTATTCCAACTGGGTTCGATGTACCTTTGTCGTTCAATTTCGAGGAAGAGTTTGGACAGCCTTACAGAGTGTACATGTTTGTGAATGGATGGATGATGGGAAAGAGAGTAGGCAATCTAGGGTAATTTTCCCGCATTCGGTTAAGTTCATGCAACTGATTACTGGCATTCAAAGACCTCAAGCTAAGTTCCCAGTACACGAAGGTATTCTGGATTATCGCGGACTCAAGTAAGCAACTTTAGCTTTGCACGCTAGCACGCTTATGCATCATTTATTTTCTAGCACTGTTGCGGTTGCACTATGGTCGATGGCTCCCAATGTAACGGTAGCTCCGAAGCTTACACTGCAAGTTGATGGTGTCTTTGAGGGAGGTGTGAATGTTTCCACAAATAATCCGAGTTGGTCACCGGATGGTAGGGAGTAGATCAACGTGTCTTATTGAAGAGAATGAATGTATACGAAAGCAAAATAAAAGCAATCTGTTGATTCAGCCCAGGATCGAACTGCGAACCTTGTGTGTACATCTGTGAGACACAAATCATAACCACTAGACATCGACTACTAAATCGATGTCAGACGCAGTGACTAGTGGGCACTTCATTAATAGTGTCATCGGACACTACTCTCTGATCGTCACCAACTTAAATACTACTAATATCGTGCTCCTGGCACGCGAAAACCATGCTTCGGAAAGTCTCAGTTTGTGAATGTTCGGACGGAGAGAAACTACCGCTCTTCTGAGCTGCCTCTCGAAGGTTTAGTACCAACCGTGGAGCCTGACCAATTTAGTATATCGATTAAGATTATTTCGCGAATTCCACTCACGGCGAAAGAATAAACGGCCATGTGCCACCTAACACAAATGACCTCAAACTTCGCTATAATTCGTACAAGCCAGGTTGCTTACCCATCGAGCAAATCTCCGAGAAATGAGGGGTTTTTAAGACCGACTGTCGTCACTATCCTTGTAATGAGCATGGCTGTACAATTGAAGATGTTAAATGCTGTGTTCGAGGAATTTTGATAAGTATACTTACCGACAATCCTGTGATAGAAATAGGAAACACGATGTGAGGTTTCCTGCCGTACGTAAAATAGCATGTTCTTACAGAGTGTATAAGACGAAGCAGTCCAGGAAAAAACTCCTCATCAAACATGGAAAATTTTTCCTGATGGGTGACTTCCATTCCCAACTCAGTTCTTGAAGAAACTTTCGGCCACTAAATGGAAGGAACACAACTAGACCGGAAGGCTCTTGGGTATTAAAAGTCAAGCATTAAATCAATACTCACGTGTGATGGCAATAGATGCAATCCTAAACGGAAATCGTTCTAAGTGCTCGGTTTTTTTTTCGAAGATATCTATCTCGACGCACCAAGAGATGAGTGTGAACCAGTAATTTCGATTTCCAAAACTTGAACAGCCAGTGATTATGAGATCTGGAGGGACGAAAGGTGCTTGAGCCATCTCCAAGGCGAGTTTGATGCAAATATAAACCACAACCTCAAAGGATACGAAAATTCAATGCAATTGCCTTCAAGTCTGAACAGTACACCTACGGCGAATTCAACTTTAAGGGAGCATTAACTTTCAGGATTCTCCCATATAATTATGATGGATGAACTCACTTGTCCAGAGTGAAAGTAAAAGCACTAGAACTTGAAAGAAAACACGCATATTAAATTCTTCAGTTCTTCTCTCAAAGCCACGCATACCTTTCCTATTCTGATATAGGGCATTTACTCGCATGATTAAAATCAAGAATACTGTTGTTCCAAAAATCGGTGGCCCCCCTCTGTTGTAAGTGAGATCATCTATCTCGAGCTTGAGCATTACGAGACCTACAAGATCATATAGTAGAACCAGCCTTGACAACTTTTAACACAGTAGGAATGATGAGTAACCGTGATGATATTTTGAAAGCAATGAAAGTAAGGTCTTACAACTGCAAGAATCTGTTTCAACTGATTGACTTCAACTTCGAAATTTTCCATACCTCTGGAGACAGCGCTTGTAGATTAGCAACTGATTATGAATAGTAAGTCGCAAGTCCCCTTTCTATCAAATCCTTCGTACCAACGAACATGCATCTCAAACACTGTGAGTACTTTTTGCGTGACCTATCATATCTGACCTACATATTGTAAAAGACACCGTAGTACCGTGTGAATAGGTAAAGTCTTTTGACCAGCGACCAGCGGCTTCTGGAATTTTGTTTTTGATTAGTCCTCCGATGGAAGTGCCCTCCCGAGGAATCCATACTTCCAAACAAATTCAATCTATAATAACCCAATGAATAAGAGAACTGATGACTGGATGGTTGCTAGAACTAAAGCTTTCGGACTGCCACGAACCTCGACGTCCAGCTTGAGAATGATGTCATATAGTAGAAATATTATTGAAGCCACTGCACTCAAAATATTTCAATGATGAGGAATTTTCAGGCAAGCAGTTCTGGAGTACGGACATAACGCATAATTGGCAGTGCGAGATTGGACTGCGATGTTAAATTCTAGAGTTGAGTCGTCGATATCTCGTGCTCGCAAGGTATCTCGAAGCGGTTGAAATGATGAACAGTGAGGGGAGCGGGAAGGAATGCATTCCATAGGCGACATGGCACACGGCTCATAGATCCACTGTTATATACCCGCATCGCATAAAGTTTCAATGAGAAATGACTTGAGGTCAAATGAAGGTCCAAGGCCGGTCTTTTACTGAGGTTGATCCATTTAGTGTGACATGGGTCAGCTGCCGATCAACCTCGGCCTCGTACCCACCCGCGGAACGACGGCCTTTACATACTGTCAGCGGGAGGTCGGCAAAATCGTCATTTTGTATGTTTCAATTAATCTTTCAGTAGAAAAATGACCGTCAGGATCGGTTTTCATAGGCTGAACGATATATTTAGGAATGGTGACCCGCTCAGAAGGGATCATCCAAATGATATATCGGCACTTTTGGTCTAACAGCTCCATACTCTTCTCAGGAACCCTCATCAGAAGTTTAGAATGTATGACAAACTCCTATGCTGCACCATTTCGATCAATTCGCCACCTCACACGACAGGCGAAATAAAAAATTTCACTCACAAGCTGGTGTGAGCCTTGAATGAAAACCTAAAATTCGTCAAAAATTTTTTTCTCTTCAATGTTGGTTTGTAGGCCGAAAAACATTGGCCGTGACGGTGAATATCCCCCGGCACTTAAGGCTCCAACCCATTTCAATTAATTACCCATTTAATTGGTTTTATCCCATTAAAATTACCATTACAATTACTTGAACTGGTTAATGGGTTATTAACTCATTAAAAATTAATAATTAATTGGTTTTTCCATATATTTTTTTGAGGGCTATATACTGAACAATTAGACAATATTCATGCCAACTTGCTTTCCAGCACAAGACTGGCATAATGTAGAAAGCATACAAACTCTAATAACCCCACTGTGCATCATTATTTTGATGAGTTAAAACCAGCAGACCAGTCACCAGTGCACCAACTGAATTTTTTTCTACCAATAAACTGTCAGTAAAATATGCACAATATTGTGGTAAGTGCGGAAGACTTCATGGATGATGCTCACGCTACCTTGGCATCATGCATCACATTGCTAGCAATATTCCTGACATCACATGGTGTCATAAAATTGGCGCTGTCACTGTCAGGGACAATGTTCAGGGCCTATCCGACACAAATTGCACCTGGAGTTGCTTAAAATGTTGTTTGGATATCTTAAATCTTTGTTTAACTTTACAGTAAGTATGTTCTATCATTTATACCAGTCAGTTATCATTGAGATTTGTCACCTGTCATACCAGAGATGACCAGTATCTTGTCAAAATGCTGATGTGACAAACAAATTGGCACTAAATTTGGTGAAAATGCATTAAAATATTTTGTACTGCACACTTGCACTGTGGCACATGCAGTTACTGAAACAATGATTCTAGAATAGAAAATTTTACGTGGGAGTTTGACTTGGAGGGCAATTCCAAAAAAAGTTTAGGTTGAAAATGTGAAGTAGATGAGTGTACCATGTAGTAAATTGCCTCAATCTTCCTGCAAATAAATCATTCCTGCTTTCCCTTGTACAGATTGATCAGCTAGTGAGTGGAGACAATATGTGTACCAACCTTTATTCCTCCGAAAAAATAACCAAGGCAATGTGTGCAAAGAGCTGGCTACATGATGGTCTCTTTGATTTTGATGTTTGAAAGGTGGTTTCAGGTCAAATTTCTTGGGACAAAAAAACCAATTAATTACAAATTTTAATGGGTTATTAATCAATTAGAAACAGATTACCATCAAAAACACTGTTGTAGACGACCGGTTTCCAATCTTAAAGTAACTGATCCATCTCATTTTTGGGTAAATGATTTAACTTCATTTTAAAGTTACTGATCCACCCTTTTGGGTGAGCACAAAGGTTGACATCTATCCAGTTTCGATACATCAATTGGGAAATGTGTGACCTTGCCGATGGTTTACCTGACTCGTCCGTGGACGTGGGGTCCAAGTTGTCACGACCTTTAACCTGAGCATTCCAATTGAGTTCGACGTACCATTGTCATTCAATTTCGAGGAAGAGTTTGGACAGCCTTACAGAGTGTACATGTTTGTGAATGGATGGATGATGGGAAAGAGAGTAGGGAATCTAATGTAAATTCTTCGTATCCGGTTGAGTTCATACAGCTGATCACTGGCATTCAAAGACCTCAAGCTAAATTCCCAGTACACGAAGGTATTTTGGATTATCGCGGACTCAAGTAAGCAGCTTTATTTTCCATGCGAGTACGCTTATGTATCATTTATTGTATAGCACTGTTGCGGTTGCACTGTGGTCGATGACTCCCAATGTAACAGTTGCTCCGAAGTTTACACTGCAAGATGATGGTATCTTTGAGGGAGGTGTCAATGTCTCCACAAATAATCCGAGTTGGTCGCCAGATGGTAGGGAGTAGATCAACGTGTCTTATTGAAGGGAATGAATGTATACGAAAGCAAAATAAAAGCAATCTGTTGGTTCAGCCCAGGATCGAACTGGGGACCTTGTGTGTACATCTTGTGAGACACAAATCATAACCACTAGACCACTGAACCGATATCAGACTTCGTGGCTAGTGGGCAGTTCATTGGTGGTGCCATCGGATACCGCTCTGATCGTCACCGACTTAAATATACGCATTTCTACCGATATCGTGCTCCTGGCACGCAAAAACCATGCTTCGGAAAGCCTCAGTTTGTGAACTTTCAGACGGAGAGAAACTACCGGTCTTCTGAGCTGCCTTCCGAAGGTTCAATACCAATCGTGGGGCCTGATCAATTTAGTATATCGATTAAGATTCATTTCGCGAATTCCACTCACGGCGAAAGAATAAACGGCCATGTGCCATCTAACACAAATGTTCTCAAACTTCGTAATGATTCGTAGAAGTCGGGTTGCTTACCCATCGAGCAAATCTCCGAGAAATGAGGGATTTTTAAGACTGACTGTTGTCACTATTCTTGTAATGAGCATGGCTGTACAATTGAAAGTGTTGAGGGATGTGTTCGGCGAATTTCAAGAG